CACCTCTTAAGTTAACCCTTGATTATGAAAATTCCAGCTGCAATAATTAAAAAGTTTGGATTTTGATATGTGGTTATGTAATGTTTGATAAATGATGTACTTCATCAAGAGTTGAATGGAATGAATTGTGAGGAAATGTAATAGAAGGATTAGGTTGGGATGGAGTAAACTTGTTGATTTGGAAATTTGGAATGAATTAGTGTAAATGAAGGAATCATCTTTGATTTTGCCTTCTTTTGATGATATTTTTATTTATTTATGATATATTTTTCTAATTTATCGAAAGTTTCAAAGGTATATTAATGTTGGAGTTGCGTATCACCTTTACTTTTCTAAATATTGTGGGCTGATTGTTGTCAGTTTTTCCTTTATGTCCTCACTGTGTATGACCATCTAGCTTTGACTTTTTATTTTTTTGAATAAACTTAATACTTAAGTTGTAGATTTGTTAGGGAATCCTCTAGTTGACGTAATTAGGTATGTAAATAGTGATTGGCGTTTTTGGTAAGATAGCATCCTATTTCATCTTTTTATGCACTGTTTTTTGTGGTGGACCTGCATCAAGACAAGAGGGTGGGTCAGGTTTAGACAAAATAATCTAATAGTGACTTTTGTATTTATCTATGAATACTTAATTGTCCACGTTCATGGATTTTCTAATATTACTTTAAAATAATCAATAATTAAATTGATTTAAGAAACTATTTTTTAATCTTAAATTAAAATTATTGTGTTTTATATGATGCCAGTTTTCTATGATGCTTGAATATTTTCTTCTTCTCTTACATTTGCAGGGAGTGTGTGCAATATGCTTGAACGCAATGAAACCAGGGCAGGGGCAGGCCATTTTTACTGCAGAGTGTTCTCACTCTTTCCATTTCCAATGCATCACATCTAATGTGAGACATGGGAATCAGGTTTGCCCTGTTTGCAGAGCAAAATGGAAAGAAGTTCCTTTTCAGAATAATGCATCTAATGTCTCCCATGACGCCTCTCAACCTAGAGGTGACACTTGGTCAGGTATACTAAGGAGACTTTCTTCCGCACGACCAAATGGTACAGTTCGGCAGAGTTTGCCACGTCAGAATATAACGGAACCAGCTATCTTTGATGATGATGATGAAATTTTGGATCAACAAACTTCAGTTACTCACCATGTCAATGATGTGGATCATAGCATTGAAAATACAATGGAGATCACAACATATCCTGAAGTTTCAGCTGTTTCAAAATCAGACACTCACGACAACTTTACTGTATTGGTTCACCTTAAGGCTCCCCCTCATCTCCACAAACACAACAGTGACAGGAGCAACGTTGAATCTTCAGTTGAGACCTCTCCTGCTCCAGTTGATCTTGTCACAGTTCTTGACATAAGTGGTAGCATGACAGGTTCAAAGATTGCATTGCTAAAACAAGCTATGAGTTTTGTCATACAGAATCTAAGTTCCTCAGACCGTCTTTCTATCGTTGTGTTTGCCTCAACAGCCCGCCGCATTTTCCCTCTACGACGAATGAATGATGCTGGACGCCAGCAGGCATTGCGCGTAGTTAACACTTTAGCTCCAACTGGTGGTACAGATATTGCTGCAGGATTGGAGAAAGGGGTCAAGGTATTTGTTGACCGTCGATGGAAGAATCCAGTGTGCGGTATCATGTTACTAACTGATGGGCAAGATACCCATAATATTTGTCTCCCGACTCGTAGTGGAGAAGGTTATCAGTCACTTGTTCCGAATTCCATTCATCGTAATAACGGTGAAGGTTTGAACATACCAGTGCATGCATTTGGGTTTGGTGTTGATCATGATGCTACTTTGATGCATTCCATCTCTGAGATTTCTGGCGGCACATTTTCCTTTATTGAAGCTGAAGAAGTGATTCAGGATGCGTTCGCTCAGTGTATTGGGGGACTATTGAGTGTGGTGGTTCAAGACCTACATGTAGAAGTTCGGTGTGCTCAGTCTGGTTTGCAACTTAACTCGGTAAAAGCAGGAAGTTATCAAAGTACATTGACTAACAATGCAAGAATGGCTTCTATAAAGGTAGGAGATTTGTATGCTGAAGAAGAAAGAGACTTTTTAGTGACACTCAATATTCCAGTTGAGGAATCTAGTGATGAGATGTCATTGTTGACCGTTACATGTCTCTATAGTAACCCCATTACAAAAGTGGAGGGTTTGGATGCAACAAGTGAAGTGAAGATTCAGAGACCTAATGAGGCTAGAGATCCAGTTGTATCAATAGAAGTAGATAGGCAAAGAAATAGACTAAATGCCGCTGAGGCAATGGCTGAAGCTAGAGTCAAAGCAGAATGTGGTGATTTGGCTACGGCTATTTCTGTCCTTGAAACATGTCACAAGGAATTATCTGAAACTCTTTCTGCTCAAGCTGGAGATCCATTATGTGTTTCTCTTTCTGCTGAACTAAAGGAGATGCAGGAGAGAATGGCAAATCAACATGTTTATGAACACTCTGGAAGAGCTTATGTATTATCAGGGATGAGCTGTCATTTAGGGCAAAGAGCAACTGCTAGAGGTGATTCCACGGATTACCAAACCTCTGTCATGGCTGACATGGTTACACGTTCCCAAACCTTTCTTGTTGGGACTCCACAATCTGAAAATATTCTACGGCCTACTAAATCCTGCAATGGCAGGAAGCAAAGAAACTAATAATGGGAATTTTACTGTTCTGTAGAGATCTAGTTCTCTTTTATCCTAATTTTAAAGTTAGATAGATAGTAGGAAGGAAAGGAAATTATTTTAGGCATTCTAAATTGTAAATGCTCTCTGAGATATTCTTCTGATTCTTTTTCATTAGTGGTGCTCTTCCTTTTGTTAACTATGTACCTTGGTGTTTGCTGGTTTTACAAATACAATAGTCTTTTGTTTCAGGTGATTTTGTTTGTTCCAGCCGCATACGTTAATGTATTTACTTTTGTTAGTTGATTCAATACAAAAAGCAGTTCTGGATTCTAATTCGATACAATGATATCAAAATGTTCATTTTAACATGGCATGATTGCTGTTGTCATATCTTTTAGTGTATGACATTGCTATTGACACACTTATTAATTATTATTCTATGTTGTCAACTTGTCAATAATAGCTGCTAAAGCAGAATAGCATATTGGTGGTAGTGCTTGGTGCGACACTTTTGCCCGCTTGCCGATATCAACTAGCGGCCGCTAATTGCATCTCCAAACCCTATTGTGCCTCTATTAGAATTTCGGGGATAAATTATGCAAATTCATTTTTTAAATTATACATTTTAATCCGAATCCTTTTAAGAGTAATGTTATGTTGTTCGCAAACAATCATTCATCTTCCTATTTTGCCTTCAATTATGTTTTATTCTTCTTTATTTGAGTTTTATTTCAATAGTCTATTTTTAGTTCAGTTATGTTTTATTCTTCTTCTTTATTTAAGTTTTATTGTACTGCTATAGCATTTTAGGGGGTTAGTACTAGCAAACACTATCCGAATCTGAACTTGCCAGCAAGTATGCAGGGTATTTTTTGTAATTAACAGAAAAGCAAAAGAAATCAACCTACTGCTGATTTAACTTATCTGGAAGGTGTTAAAGGGCCCTTTTCAGCAAGCCAAGTGTCTACTTTCAGAAAGGTGATAACTTCAATGATCATTTCCTCTTTGGTGTGGTTAAGGTGTTAAAAGATTTTACCTGTTATAGAGTTTAGCCATGCTAGTTCTTCAAATTATTTTCTTATCTGTTAACCAACATTGATGTTTAGGGAATTCATATTTTACTTTCATTTTGTGAAAGAGAACGAAAGGGTTTATGAAAGGGTTTGTTATGTGTACGCGATTAAAACATGCAAGATGGTGAAGATGATTTCCCTCCCATTACTTTAAATTTTCACTGTGTTTTTGCTATATTTTGCTTCAGTTAAATGAACCAGTTTCTTAAAATACTTCTTTCCAAAACAAGGAAAGCAGTAAGAAAACAAAATTTGCTTTTGCTTTCTAAGAGATGCTGCTCTCTTATAATTTTCACTACTTCTGCTAAAACAACGAATTTCTAGCATTTGTCGACACTTTCAGTGAAATTCCTCATTGTCAAGAGTTTACTGAGGGAAACAAAGATGTGTTCTTTTGGTAGTTGTTAATTTCATTCTCCCATTCCTATGCTTTGAATTATATGGAAGCTAATTGTCAACCAGTCCATAAAAGGATGTTCTACACTTCTAACAGCTCATTACCTATATTCATTGTCTAATGTGTGACCAACCGTTGAATGTACGTGTTCTCCTCTATTGAATCTTTAACGTTTAAACTCTAAACTCATGACACTGTCACTGGTGATTTGGTGTTAGTTTAAGGGTCCATTCCATACAGTATTTATAGGTTAAACATTCATTTCTTCATTCCTATTCTATTTCCTTATTTACATTCACAAGTCACAGAGTTGTGTACAAAAAAGAATTCCTATCTCCTTATCCGTATCAAATGACTCACATTTTTTTCTTTGCACTTTTAGCTAGTTCATATATTCAAACTGAAACTTGAGGGGGCTATTACTGTTTCTGGATTAGTTGATTGCAGTTTTTCTTTGTGCTTTTAGCAAGTTCATATATTGTTTAAAAGAATGATTATTGGATCGAAAAGAATTTGAAGGCTTACTCTCCCCCTTTTAACGGGTTCACCATATGCCTCTTTTATTTTTTTTTGCCAATATTAATCTATGGTCTTTAATGTTTAAGAGCTCATTAAATGTGGATTGGTAGTATTTATTTTACATATTGAAACTTGTGTTGCTCGTGTTTGTTCGTACTTAAAATATATTGAAGACATAAATATGTCAATTCTCTTTCTCTCTGACATATCTGCATGCATGTACTTGTCATCTATCTGCTTGTGAATTTGTTTCGAAGAATCACCTAAGAGATTTTGTGACGTAGGAAAATTGCTTCCCTTAGATTTATGCAGTGCTAAATTTTCCTTTTCTTTCTTTTACTTGTAGTGTATGGGTCAGAATAAATGAAGCATCAACTCAAAGTTTCTGTTGCTCTTATTATTAGCTTGCTATGGTTTCCGCAATCATTTTGTGGTTAGTAGTACCACAATTGATAATTCATTTGGTTTTCGGTATTTTCAACTTTCATATGCAAGATACCCTGTGCATTACCGATCTTTAGACGACTACTAAAAGGGAAAAACCTATATAACAGATTTTGATTTACCGCAAGATTCATTATATATATTTTTTTCCGTGCAAACAGAAAAGCTCATCCGATGTGGCTCTTTATAGTGGTCATTGCATGATGTTGTTTTAGTAGTTTTACGTCCATACAGGCTTTGGTGTACATGTTTCTCCTCAGTCACATGTATAATCCAAATTAGCCATAAATAATACTCTTAATTTTTTTACTTTTTGCTTGTTTTATCAGCAAATGAACCTTCTGATACTGGTCTAAAAAAGTGGGAATGTAGATGTTCTTTCCAAGCGAACCAAAGATACTCTATTGCAAATTGTTCCAAGTCATGTGATTGCCATTCAGGTATACCAGTAATGGTTTTTTGTGCTGATAAATTTGCCACTTCCCCGTGTTCGCCATTTTTAGGTGAATACTATGATCACATTTTGAATACTGTTGTTTTGTTTGCTACTTTTTATTTATTTTTTGTTTCATGTACATGCTGAAGAAAGTGCATCCATATGGACATGTATATGTGATACAAATGGGCTTCCTGAAGTGGCAACAGATAGCCATAATCTTAATTGCTTTATTGCCTGCAACTGCATCTCGGGTATCTTTCCTTCTTTCCCTTTTTCTTCCATCTCTAAAGTTCACTATTTGACACTTCCCGAAAACTGATATTTTTCATTCTAAATCACTTTTTATTTTGAAGAAGTTAATTTTTAGATTTTGACTGTCCTGCAGGAACTGCTAAGATGTCATTAGGCTCAAAGACACGCATTTCAAGCAAAATTGTAATAATCATTCTAGTAATGTCTATTACGTGCACAACTATTGCATTTCTTGCCTTATTTGTATGCTATATTCGTCGAAGGAAGAGGCCTCATCCTATTGAATCACCAATGAACTCATCATCAGATAAGGGAACAAGTTATAGTAATACTAGCAATTTCATTAGTCGGAAAACTTCTTTTGTGCCAGAAACAAAAGGCGTTATGAATTCTCCGATTAGTCATATTACAAGTAAGATGGCTTTCGAGTTAACTATCTCTAATTTGTTACTTAAAAGGCATTTGGTATAAGCTGTTGAGTTTTATACCCTTTTCCTGTTTTTTTCTTCATTAGGATGCTTTCGAAAAGCGTCTATTTTGCTTGGGAGTCAAAGAGAAACATTTCATGGAAATATTGTTCAATTCTCATTTGCTGAACTGGAAAATGCCACTGAAAACTTTTCAGCTTCCAATCTTATTGGATTAGGTGGAAGTAGTTATGTATACCGTGGTCGACTGAAAAACGGTAGTAATGTGGCAGTTAAGCGACTTAAAGTTCAAGGAGGACCTGAAGCAGACACCGAGTTTTTCACAGAGGTTGCACCTATTCTTAACAGTATTCAGTTATCTTTGGTTAATCATGCTGTGTAAAAGGAAAAAAACGAGCCCGGATTATCTTCTTTTCTTGCTATATCATTCATTTTGGCTAACAAATTTTGTCTGTTCAGATTGAACTATTGTCTAGACTTCATCATTGTCATCTGGTGCCATTGATTGGATACTGCTCAGAATTAAAAGGAAAAAGTGTTCAGAGATTACTAGTGTTTGACTACATGAGTAATGGAAATTTGAGGGACCGTTTAGATGGAGTTCTCGGAAAAAATATGGATTGGTCTACCCGTGTTACAATTGCATTAGGAGCTGCAAGGGGCTTGGAGTATCTTCACGAGGCAGCTGCTCCGAGAATTCTCCACAGAGATGTCAAATCAACAAACATTCTTCTTGATAAAAACTGGCAAGCAAAAGTACGGGTCTTGATTGTTCTATATCCTAATTCTAATGTAACAAGATACGAAAAACAAGTTCTAACTTTTAGTAGTTTTAACGTGTTTTGTAATCTGTACTCTCGAGATCCTTATGCTGATATGCAGAAGTTTCCTTACACAAACTTTTTAACTGATCAATTTGCAGATAACTGATCTTGGTCTGGCTAAAGACTTGAGATCTGATGACCTCCGTAGTTGTTCAGATTCTTCGGAAAGAATGAAAGGGACATTTGGCTATTTTGCACCTGAGTATGCAATTGTCGGGAGAGCCTCTATTGAGTCTGATGTCTTCAGTTTTGGCGTGGTTCTTCTTGAACTTATCACTGGTCGCCAACCAATCCTTAGATCTGCAGGCAAAGAAGAAAGCCTTGTCGTCTGGGTATTGTAAATCAACTTATGAAATACTGACACAGACACCAGACACAATATCAACACTAACATGTAGACACTAATGTTAATAGGAAAAATAGATGATTAAATGTAACCACCTATGTGAGACGTGTCATTGTCATACAAGTGTCTGACACTCGGACACCCCTTCATCTTGAAGTGTCAGTGCTACATAGAAATCAACTTATCCTGAATTAAGATGAATAAGATGGTTGCCTACTTTATTTTAAACATTGCATATAGCTTTTTTAATGAATTTTTACTAAGAAATAGATTATGGACACTCATTATACTGATATAGTTTGCCTAACTTGTTTTTGTTTTAGGCTACTCCTCGCATACGAGATAGTAGACGAGTAATGACAGAGTTGGCTGATCCACAATTGAAAGGAAACTTCCCAGAAGATGAAGTGCATATAATGGCAAACCTAGCAAAGGAATGCTTACTGTTGGATCCTGATAATAGACCAACTATGAGTGAAGTTGTTCTAATTCTATCAAGTATTTCCCGAACCAGATCTAGAAGAAGAAGATACATTCAATTGTGCCTTTTTCAGGTGAGCACATTCTCTGTGGTGTCCTTCGTTGTTAACTACAGTATTCTAGTTTCGATCAAATCATTTCCCTTATTCCTATGCAAACATTTCATTTGTCTGATATAAAGGAACCAGAGGAGGCAGAGAAAACAAGACAAGCTTCATGGAGAAGATTTCCACCTCATAATTCATTGCCACGGGGTTTGGACTACAACCTCCGTGTTGAAAACGAAGATAAAAATGTAGATACAATTTCAACCGAGTATATGAAGAGTTTGATCCTCTCGACTTCAAAAGGTGAAAGTTGGCATGCATCAGAAGAAGACATGGTAGACCTATCGGAGCCTCGGTTGGAATCATTTTGCATGACAAACATCAATTTCCCTTGATAATATACACCTTCCATTATGCATCAGCAATACTACAAGCCATGTTACTATGTAGCATTTAGTACTGTGATTTTTAGAGTGTCACCGTTTTAGATAAACAGGTTGTTTGTTCTACTTGTACAGATGAAAAACATACATGATTCCGGCTCTAGTTTATTTGGAAAAGAATCGGATGCGATACATGTAAAAAAGCATTGTAAATTTGCAAATATATTTACAGATAGATATATCACACATGGGATTGTATATCTTCTACATTCTTTATCCTAAGATAATTAGTGAGTACTACCATTTTATTGCTTGTGTTACAAGGTTTATATGTTAGTTGAGTTTGAATGGTAGATGAAAAGTTTGACCTGTGGAAAGGAAGTTATTGAACTTTTACATATTTATTTAGTAGAAATGCAGAAGCAACCATTGTAGGTAGGTGACCATGGATCCTCCTCCTCCTCCCCCTCCCCCTCCTCCTCTGAGCACGCCATTGTTAGGTCCTGCTCCCCCTATCGGAGGATTCTTGGATTCTTGGTAAGGTGCTTCTTTGTGTTTGAATTCTGCGAAGAAAAGATGAAATTAATGACATGTCTTTGTTTTCTTGATTTTATGTTTTCCAGCTTATGGTTCCTATGCTGCTGTGGTCTATTAAGTTGCTGCTTTCCTCCTATTTACGAACCGGGGCCTCCTCCTCCTCCTCTCTAATGCTTTCTGCATTGTTCTGTCACTGCAAGGAAACTGGAGAAAAAAAGTTGTTAAATAACATACTTTTCTATGCATCAATGATACTCATTACTTGTTTGTATGTAGATGTAACCTTGATCATTTGTCATAGAAAACTTAATCATTTGATGCATGTAACTTCTGTTATTCTATTAAGAAAGTGATTTGGTTGTGGCTTTTACACAAATTCTGTGGCTTTGATTTTCTACCTTATTGTTGCATATTTTTCTTTGATGGGTACCTTATGGTTTTGTATTTGATCAAATGAAAAAGTGAAAAGAAATAAAATAAACAAGAAATAAGTAGATCTCTCATTAGATTAAGAGACAAATATGGGAAAATTGTAAAAAAAAGTATATGTGTTTTATCTCCAATTAATCAAGAGAAACTTTGAGACAGGTTTAACATTTTTATTGATACTTTATGTAGTAAGAAATATAGGTGGTGTTTTTCATTCATATAATCTATTGAAAATAATATTGTGATTGATTATTATGAATGAAGGGGCTCTATAAGAGAAAATATAATTAATTAACTCTTTAATTTTAAGAGATATATAATGAAAATAACATAAATATAAAAAAAGAAAAAAAATATTATATTTCAACACTCTTTTAGGTTGATGCATAGATATTAGTCACTGTCCGATTTGCTGATAAAATATTTAAATGTTGTTATTGTCAAATATCACCGGTATGTTGATTGGACAGAATAAATGCTAAGCAAAGAATATTAGAATCTATCTTTTATTTATTATTATTATTTTTTTATGAAATGACAATCAATTCTAATATATTTTATCTGATCATGTTGAATAAGAATGGAAGTTGTGCTTATAGCAACTTTAGTTTCACAATATAACTTCAATGAAAATTTTACCACTATGAGTTCATTCAAAATTCTAAGAATCTACATACCTTCGCGAATTCCTCGAGCCATTACTTTAAACTCAGCTTTAGCACCACCTATAGTAACCACTCATTGTTTTTTTCTTCTCAACAATACCAGGTTCTCCCATACATATGTGCAATAGTTTGAAGTTGACTTTCTACTATAATAAATTCTGCCCAATATGCATATCAATGAATATATGCAGTAGTGATAATTGCCACATTTTTATCATTGGTCATTTTGAAAAATAACCCTTTTTCTAGAAGTTATTTTCAAGTATCTCAATATTTAGTATTGTTCTAGGCATACAAAAAGACCCAAATGGCTAAAGTTTAAATCAACTCAAATCCACTCCACATGATCCAATGTATAAAAATAATGATCACGAAACGCAAGGTAAACTTGTTTGATCTACATTTTCAATTACAATCACCTTAAATCTTGAACTGACTTAGGCTTTGGATTGCTAACTTTGCTGGTCCACCCCGCGCCACCATATATGAGATCAACACCACCAGCTCAAATTTCTTCACCACCTACTTCAACTATTTATGGTCCTAGGATGAAACAATGGCGCCGTCTGTGGGAATCAACTTTAGATTCCCACAAAATTCTACGAGTAAATTATCTTCGATCCAAAATCAGATCCCCGCTAAAAGCAGAGAGATACGAAGCAGTAACCCGATCAGTCATGTCCAAGAGATCCGTTCCTTCCTCTGATCAAATTATCCACCAATTATCATCGTTCGACGAGATCCGTGGTGCATCGACATCCAATACCTGTCCTCCATTTAAGTGCCTCCTACTAATGATAGATAGTGACATTCGACTGAGCAGAGATTGATTGGAGTTAAGATTTCTAGACTACGAAAAGATCAAAGGAATTTCAAACTTCAATCTGCCTCTATTCTAGCGGTCACCATAGTTGATCGAAACCTGACAGGATTCCTCGTGGATGATATAAGTTATTGCGACGTCATTTACGCTGATACGTTAGAAAGACTAGGCATTCAGTAGTTAGATCTGAATCCATATCGTGAAGGAGATCTATTGGATTTCAATGATTCAGTAACTTTCCTGAGTGAAACAAAAAATCTGACATTGGCGATATTAGAATGAGGTCCTTAACTTCCTTGTAATTTCGTGTAAGGAGTTCCTTCAAAGGTATTATAGAAAAGTCCTTCTTGGCAAACCTAGATGCGGTGACATCTCCGGTCCACCCGGAGGTAACATATCAAGATAAAGAGGAAAACCGACAACTGTTAACGCCAATCTAGAGGAACCAAAGAGGAATACCAATATATTCGACCTGGACGCACGAGAGGATGAAGTCAATGTTGGAAAAAGTTTAGTTCTACAACCATCCTTAAGTTTTGATGATAACAAAGTGTAGAGAACAATTTTGCCGAGTGTGCAGAAAATTGGAAGCAAATTCTGAGTCTGAAGATGTCCAAACTCTGAACCAAAGAATAAAAGCGTATATAAACAAGTCAACTCTAATCTATCAAGTCAACATTTCTTAATAGAAACCATGTAGACAAACTCTGATAAATAGCTCTGACTATCAGCTTGTGAAAGTATTAGAACCTAGTTGTCCCAAGACTCTATTTATTTCACCAAGTTCTGATGACAAACTTTGGAAATGCTACTCAAGCTTCATAAACAAATATTAGAAGCCTTTGAATAGAAAGTGTTTAAGCCAAAAGGTCAAAAAATATTTGATGTGACAGAAGTACAAAAACAAATTTACTTTTTCCATAAAGTACTGTACTCTGTGTCAAAGAAGTCTTCCACGTCCCATCATCTTCACCAACTATCGGCTACATCGCCACTCTAGTGTTGCATATGAAGTGGTCTTTATATAAGAAATAATCACAGTATACTTTCATATTCACCTCAAACGAATATATTTGCTTCTATATAAAGAGGTCTTTGAAGATTGAACGAGACATCGAACATACGCACATTGAACATTCATCAACGCTCACACTCAAGAAACATATATAGAAAAATAAGAATTGTTTCTTACACTTATACACTTAGAACAAAAACTCATTGAATACTCTTGTTAAGTGTAATACTTGATTTAAACTTGTGTATCTGCTCATCTGGAGCATCTATAAACACAAAACTTATTATTACAACTTTGATTGTAATCTTCAAGCCACCAGGTTGGTCAGGCTCTTGAGAAGTCAATAACATGTAGTTATTGAGGTTTAAATCTTCTTAAGCGATCGGGTAGATCAGGATCTTAAGGAGTCAGTGACCGTCAGATTTCTTAGGAGACCAGTTGGATCAAAATTCTTAAGAAACTATTTATAGGTTATTATTGAATTTGTAATCAATTTTGATTATTGAATTAAGTATTTGTCTGAGGCAAAATCACTCAGGTGGGTGTACTAGAGATAACTTGTTAACAGTGAACAGGATAAAAAATTTTGTGTGCTTTATAATTATTTTTATTACTTTAAGCTTTTATTTTAGGTTGCAAAAATCTCTCATACTTAAAACCCAATTCAAACCCCCAATTTCTTGTGTCTCTTGAACCTTCAATTGGCATCAGAGCTTCAGTTTTGGTATTGACAATTTTGTGTCAAAACACTTAACCGTGTCAGATAAGGATCCATCTTTTATTGAAACACACAATGACATCCACCAGTGGTCAGAATTCATATACAAACAACAATGGTCACGACTCTGCTAAATCTCCAATCTTTGATGGAGAAAAGTTTGGTTACTGGAAGGATAGAATTGAAATTTATTCTTTGGATATGATGCATATTTATGGGATATGGTAGTAGATGGCTACACACATCTTGTAAACTCAAATGGTGCTAAGTTTGACAGAAGAAAAATGAGTGAACATCAAAATGGGATATGGTAGTAGAAATTTTCTTCCTAAATTCTATTTCCTACACTGATTATGAAAGGATTAAAAATAAAGACTCTGCTAAATCTATATTTGATTCTTTAAGAATGACTCATGAAGGAAATGAGCAGGTGAAAGAAACCAAGGCCCTAACCTTGATTCAAAAATACGAGGCCTTCAAAATGGAAGAAGATGAAACTATTGAGAGTATTTTCTCAAAGTTTCAAACTCTTTTTGATGGCTTAAAATTTTTGGACAAAGGTTATACTATTGCAGATCATGTAAAGAAAATCATAGAAGCTTGCCAAAGAAATGAAGGCTAATGGAGACAGAACTAAAAGTGTCAAAGTATCTAAACAAAGAAACTCTGGAAGAGCTAGTGAGTTCTCTTAGAAGTCACGAGATTGAGCTAGAAGAGGATGAGCCTCAAAGGCAAAAAAAGTTGATGGCTCTAAAGTCAAAGACCAAAGCTTTCAAGATAAAGCAGAATTTGAAGAAAATTCTGATGATGAGCTGTCTCTTTTATCCAGAAGAGTCAACCATCTCTGGAAGAAAATACATAACAACTTCAGAGGCTATAGAAAAGGAGGAAGATCTGAGTCAAACTCTGGACAAGATAAGTCTGGAAAAAACACAGAGGGTACCTGCTTTGAGTATAAAAAACCATGTCACTATATGAATGAGTGCCCTAAAATCATCAAGGAAAATCCTAAGAAAAGATTATCCAAAGAGAATAAGAAAGGTTTAATTGAAACATAGGATAACTATGACTCCTCAAAAGATGAATCTGAAAAAGAACAAGCCAACATTACATTCATGGATGGAAATTAAGTTTCAGATTCAGAGTCTGAATCAGAATAGGTATTTTCTCATGTAACTCGTACTGAACTTGAAATAGCCTTAGTAGAAATGTTTGAAAAAATTCAGAAACTCCAAGAAAAACACATGAACCTAAAAAGGATTCATGTTATTGATTCTAGAGCACATGGTGAGCTGATAATAGAAAACTCTTTTTCAAAAGCAAAAATTGATGTTTTAGAAAAAGAAATCTTTCTCTTAGAAGAAAAAATGAAAAACTTGAAAAGGAAACTCTTTTAGTAGCTCCTATGAATTCTAAGTGTGTCAAATAAGTATGATACAACATTTCAAAAATTTCTAGCTAAGTTTTACAGAAGCAAGATGGCTTCTATGATCTATGGTGTCAGTAGAAATGGAAAAAAAG